ATAAATAAATAAATAAATAAAAATAACTATGTGGTGGTCATTTAACAAAACTGAAGCTTTGAGTCTCCCTACTATCTAGCCTTGGGAAATGGTTGGCTGCATAATACAACTTTAATAGAATGACACATAACCTCTCCTATTCCCATGGTTAAGCCACCACTGAGTTCTACAGGAAATCATTGAACACAAATTTCTGCAGACTGTTTTAAACTCCTCTTTGCAGACTAGTTAAGTGCAGACTATGCTGCATTCAACATTCTATGTGAATGAATTTATCTTTTGATGCTTATATACATTTATTTATGTGTTGGCTCTTATCTTTTATAGCTTATCAAAAACATTAAAATAGACCAGAGCATGGTTGATATTTTACCAGTCCATAACACTGATGAGCATCTTGAGCTGTATCTATTCTGTACACAGGAAAAATATGACAATTTAAAAACCTTACCTTTACGTTTGGTTTAGATTTACTGACTGGAAAAGAACATGGGGGAAAAACAGATACAAATGAGAACAAGACCTCAAACAATTTCAACATGCTAAATGGTAAAAGTCAGAACAGTAGCAATCAGAACAGTAACAGAACACATCCTGATGGCAGCAGTTCTAGATCCTGTATGTTAAATTGTACAGTAATTATTAACATGTACTGTACGTATATACGATATCCATGCAACTATTTAGAACTGGCTGAGAGTGCACACTTTAAAAGTACTACAGTAAAACAGAAACCTACTCAAATTATTAAACTCTTATAGTCTGAAATTCATATGGCACAACTCTGTTGCTTAAATGTTGATGATGTAATCACCTGGCAATGTTAATCTTTATTTTAATTTAAATTAAAACTTCTTATCCTCCTCTTAAGGTTCTGAGGCACCACAGGGATCCCATCAAGAGCTTCAGGATAGAGGAGGAACCCTTAATATTAGAAACTCCAGCCAGATCACTACTGGCGATTCCAATCCAGTGGCAACTTTCCAATATGAAAGATTTTCCCATACCCTGAAGCTCCCAACGACTTCCCTAAGGCTCTCTAGGGAAGTAGAACCTGAAAGGGAGAAAACCTTTAAAATAAAAAATAGATTATGTACTGCTGCTGGGTCACCAACAATATTTATGCCCCACTTTGCATGACAAGCCATAATATAACAAGGGGCATCTGTTGTCCCTGTTATGGGGCAGCATGTAAGCAGCACACTTTATCATAGCCATAAACAATGAGATGTTTTGATGCTTCAGTTCCCAGACAGCAATAATCATAGCTTGATACTGCCTCTGAACTTCACAAATGCTCTTTGTTCAAACAGTTTGCTAAAAAGCAAGAATACCACACCAAAATCTGATTCCAACCAGCACAAGGAAATATTTTAGTTTTTAAAAAATTTAGTTAACACTGTATTCTAGCATCACAGCACTGTTCCAGCAGTACCTCCAAAATGGTTATACTGTACTTGTGAAAATTTTCCTTGACTGTTACAACACAAACCTCAGTTTGCAATGGAGCAGCCAAAAGTGAAGAAAAGATCAGGCAGCCCTTTCTAATACTGATTTTGCAGAGATATTGTTCCCTTCACTAAATTTCAAATTAATAGCAAATCAAAACAGTTTCAAAGCCTGAAGTTATTATATGACAACAAAAGACCTGAAGTTTCGCGAAGAAATTCCCCTGTAAGAAGCAAAATTTCTTCTCTCAGAATGTTTAATTTTTATTTATTTGAAATGATTGATTAAGCAAATTAAGGGATTCCATTCCAGTGAATTCTGGTTTTAATACCGTGTTTCCCCCAAAATAAGACAGGGTCTTATATTAATTTTTGCTCCAAAAAACACATTAGGGCTTATTTTCAGGGGAGGGTTTTTTTTTTCATGTACACCAATCTACATTTATTCAAATACAGTCATGTCACCTTCTTCTGGTTGCTGCACAATGAGTCCCTGGTAAAGGGCAGGGTTTCATTTAACTGGGGCTTATTTTTGGGGTAGGGGTTATATTACAAGCCTCCTGAAAAATCATACTGAGGCTTATTTTCAGGTTAGATCTTATTTTCAGGGAAACAGCATCACATGTTAAGAAACAGTAGCTCAACAGACCATTACACTAAATTTGAAATGATAGGTAAAAATAAAAGTTGAAGACTCCTCTGACTATATTTGCCTGTTACTACTTAAAAAAACTTTACAGACAAAACATACTGTTGAAATGGAGTTTGAAATGACAACATCATCAAGTTTATGAACTTAATACATCCAAAAATATGCTGCAACAATACAGAGGATTCTAGGATTATTCTCTTTGAGTGAACTGTTTGCATGAAAACAACACTAGAACCCAGAATACTTTTGCCAAGGTACCTCCAGAACTGCATTACAGAGAACAGTAGCCATGCCTGCCCATGTAAGTGAGCCAGCACTGGGTCACATATCCTTATTTCTTCTTTGGATTGTATATTTCCTAGGCTGATAGTCTTTAGTTTGGCAAAATCAGCTAAGATTAATCAAAATGATGAATAAGTGAAGATGCAGGATATTAAATATTCTGCAATGCAAAGTAGTACAGCCTACAGCCTAGCTACTGAGTTCACTGGACTATGGCCAGGATCTTTAATATTACTTTATATTGGTGTAATCAAACCACAATAATTCAATTTAATGAATTTAAATGTGTACAGCTGAACTTATCTGAATAAATCCAGCTATAAGCAAATTGTAATATTAATCATTAGACAAAACAGCAATCCATACCATAAGAAGCCACTATAAGTCTAGGTTTTCCATCCAGTATTTCAGTTTCAAGCTTTAAACCATCCCTGCAACATAAACAGAAAGTTTATATTGAAATAAAATTATCATGGGAAAATATGAAGAATAATTTCTAAACAAACCAATTAAGTACACTTCCAACTAAAGGCTCCACACAGCAGTAAAAATATAAATTAAACAGTAGGCACAGTATTCTGACAGTTTTTTCTTCTGCCCATTTTCAGTTGTGTGTTTGTTATAAGCTTAGAATCTACTAATGTATTATATAAAAATAATATGCTTGTTCTGGATCATCCATTGTTGTCCTGCATAGACTATATGAAGAGGAGAAAAAGAGAGAGTAGTATAGATTTTCAGTAAATTTGGGCTGAAAACCCTGTTCATGCAGTTATTCCACATAATGTTGATGATGTTATCAGATGCAGCAGTTTTTCAGAAATAAGACATTTCTGATCCCCACACCCCAAAGGTCCCAAAGCTACCACAGAATCTTGTTGTAGGGAAGCCATTGGGGGCCACATGATGGTGGAGGAGAATGTCCAATTTATGAAAATTACTTCTACCAGTAAAATAATTTAAGCAGTGCCAATTTTTGAAGTAAAAGACTTCCCCATCCCTCATTCCCTAACAACTTCCCTATGACAAAGGAGATTCCATGACAGCTTTGAGTCGTTCAGATTGGCAGGGTTGGAATGTTTTTATTTATTTAAAATTTTCGTGACTGATGACCTCATTAGCTTTCTGTGACAAAACTTATGCAACAGGATTTCAACCTTTGTTTCTAAAACTTGTTCAGATGATTTGCAAAAGGAACAACCTGCCCCATAGTGCCCTTATGCTCCACATACTCTAGCTTTTTAAAAACACTAGAATAAAATTAATAGTGTTTTTAAATTAAATAAAAGACTTGCTTTATTTCTTTACAAACCCCTATATACCTGAGCCCACAAGTTTCGAAACATTACTGAAGTACTGATGCTTTCCTAATGGGAAAAGGGTACTAGGGAAATTCACTGGCACAAGATGGAGTGCTAGCAAGCTGGATAGCTGTAAAAAAGGAAACTGGCTAAATACTACAGAGATTAGAGCCACTAGTCAGGATGACTATATATCACTTTCAGATTCAGAGGCAGTATGCAGTATTTGACTTGTAGATGAACATGGTATATAATCAGTGCAGTTGTTATTCATGTCAAGATGAAAGGCTTCCTGTAGCCAACTGGCTGGATATCGTGTCAACAGAATGCTAGACTAGGCAGGTCTTCTTATAATTTTTTTTTAAATTGGAAGAACTTTTTATAGGTAATGCTCTCACACATCTTTTTAAAAAGTCTGTCACCAAAACAGGAGGACAAGCACACTTCCATATCTGAAACTTTTCACACCCAGACTTTCATGTTAGAGAACTATCTCTAAGAAGGCAGTTCTCAATTCATTGCAAACAAAGTATTTATAAGACAGAAGATTAATGTAACACTACAGTGAACACTGATTATTAAATGCAAAATTAGATAAAACATTTTCTACTTGGAAATGCATGGGTATGCTTGATTACCTAGAGGCAGCACAGTCATGGAGCTACTCCTAGAGGTTTTTGGAAATTGTGGTAGAACCAATCTACCCAAAAGTAATTTGTGGTGAGCAGGAATGACAAACACAAAAGTTTTGCTTTTTCTGTTTGCATTTGTGTCTTCTTTGACATAGGAAACTGCAAGTTTAGCAACCTCTGCCGTGTTCACCCATTTGAGGAAAGTTTGCTGGTTGCCCTCTCATTTGGCTAAAATAGTAAGAAGACAGGAACTGAGTGTGGTCCAGCCAAGCAGTCACAATAATAAGAAATAAATAAGTATTCTAGTAGCAGCTAGCACTCCTATTTCCTTTCTTTCAACAGAAGGTTTGCAAGGTTTGCAGTTGTCTGTAAAGACTCTGAAAGTCTAGATGTGAAAGTCTACAAGTCTAGATGTGACACAGATGGGAGACCTTATATATGGTTTCAGTTAAATAACAGCCAGTCTTACATTCAAAAATCTGAAGCAAGCTTTCCCAAAATGTTAATTACATTGATCTTGATGACGAAACCCTATGAGGTGAACTTGTTTAATATAATGCCATTATTTGTTCCAATATTTGTGATAACAAGAACAATATTTGTGATAACAAGAACAACACTTTTTTTAGTAACTAGAACTGTTGTGCATTACTTTAGGTTTTTGCTGGGGGGGTTCTTTGTTTCTGGACTTATTTGTCCTTTTAAATTATTTTAAATAATTAAAATCTCACAGTACTAACATTAGTAAAAGGGGTAATGTCAGTAAATTACCTTTTCCTTTAAAAATATGGATGCATTTGCTTTTAAAAATAACACTTCCAAGCTCTGAATGAGCTACAGATGATCAAGAACTGTCCTGGGTCTAGTAACATCTGAAAGTTAAAACATCTTCATCCATATTAGACTCATATTGTACAATCAATCAGTTCATTTCAGGGAAGTTTATGCAGAACCTAGACAAGCCTATCCTCTATTTATAAATCACTGTGAAGCGGAGAAGACAAGTGTGCCGTCCTCAGAATCACCTGACACCGTAACAGAGAGCGGATGTGCAGAGGGCATATTAATAAAGATAGAACAAGAGGAGGTAATAGCTAGTCAACCCGCGGAAGTGTGTTTGGTAGACGAAGGAGGGGAGGAGCTGGATTTGATACTTTGGGAGGACATAAAAGGGGGTGAAGAAGCGCACGCTTTTAGTTGGATCGGAGAGGGAGCTCTGGCTGGAACCGTGAGTCGGGGAGTACAAACTGGGCCCATGCTTGATCATGGGATGGTTGCCGGGATCTTGCAGACTTTCCCTAATCTGCAGTGGGGAGGAGGGTTGCGACCCGAACCTCCTTTTCCCAGCACCAAAGGAAGAGGTTTGGACCCCCTAGAATGGACGGTGGTCATTTATCCCCACAACCACTCTGGGGGGGAGGAAAGTGATTCGACCTGGTCCCTCTTTTCAACAGAAGCCTCCGGAGGGGGATTGGGCACGCCACCCGTGCTGTGGCACGGTTTGCGCAGTACGGAGTACTCCACTGAGGCCATTGATAGATCGGGAATGTTTTGGCCCGGCTCCCTTTTGAAGAAAGATGTTTTGTTACCCAACGTTAAAGTAAAGAAATATAAAGTGTTACCAGAAGTAAATTTATTAGATCCTTTTGACTCTGTTGAATTGAACGCAGTTAAGAATAAAGTTATTGTTGAAAGTTCCGATCAGCCTCCAACTTTTTCCCGTCTTTACCACCAGCGCGCCCCCGGCTAGAGATGAATCCCGTTACAATCACCCAGGATTCTTCTGCTGCTATTTTCATCTATTTTTTTCTTCCCTCTCAAAACACTAGTAAATTGCACTAGTGAAGGACCAATGAATCAGTGGTGATTTGGTAAGTTAAATCCACTCTTAAGTTCCACTGATTCAAATAGCCTACTCTAGATGCAACTTACTATGTTAAGCAACAGGATTTCAGCCAATGTCTTTCGAATAGGAGCCCTAAAAAGCCTCCACCAGGAATATCATTTACATGTCCCATGTAAGCATCTTGGCCTTCTCTTGTGCCTTTATGAGCAGCCAGATAAGTATGCAACCACAGGCAGAGGTTGGGCCTTATGCTGAAGAGCTTCAATCCAATCCAGTATTATGCACTACAATTGCTTGGAAGCTGGCAATACTGTAAGACAAAACATTGTAGATTAACTGAGATGAGTAATTTCTAGGTCAGGATGATGATAATAATGACACTAACTACTGGCAGCCCAAGACCTAAAAAAGAAGCAGCCCACAGGATGAAGCACTCTCCTGCTTACACCACCAACCATCAATAATAACTATATTCTGGGAAGCCCCAGCATGACAGCCTGATAATCATACACTGGTTGCCCTGGATTCTGAAATGCAGCATCCAGGGACAGATCAACGTCTGCAGGTCTTTCGCCTTCTAAGGAAGCCACAACAGACAAACTTCAGCTGGGAAACTCCTGAATTCAGAGATTAGGCGTGATGTCCGGGACTTGCTTCTTTTACCATCTCTAGGTGCTCCCTGCCTAATAAATGGAAATTTAAGGGCAGGGGGGCGGGGCGGGGTGGGAGACTGGGCTGCGCTTTGTTGAGCTGGCAGCCTTCCGGTACATTTCCTCACGCTTCTCTTCACAAACGTTAATCCGTGAAGGAGGACAAAAACCCGAGATGGCACCATGTCTTTCGAACTGGGAGCCCTCCGTCCCGACGCAACCCTAAAGAGGCTTAAAAGCACCTCTTATGGCGGCAACAAAAGAAAGGCTGCTGCACACGTTGTTACGAACACACACAGGTTGCCACCCAAGCCAAGAAGAGCTCAGAACAGGAAAAAGGGGGGACGGCGGCTCAGCCCTGCGCGTCCTCCGTCTTCTTACCCCAGATTCATAGCTGTTTGTTCCTTCGCTCTCCGGACCGCCAAGCACACGAGCCCGCCAACGAGCTTCGCGACCCCCAAAGGGAGGACAAGGCAGCCTCCGGAGCCGCCTAATCCCAACCCCTACAAATCTGTGGACGTCGGTTGCTGCCACCGCACAATGAGAGGGGAGCTGATAGGCCTGCTGGGGCCGCACGCCTCTCACCAATGATCTCCGCTCACACTGAGCTGCCCGCCTGCGAAGCATTGTGGGAGTTGGAGTCCGGCGGAATCTTGAGTCTCCTCCCCCCCGCGCCTTTTCTCTTGCCTCGCCCCGCCCCCTCCTCTGTAGGGTGCGCGCGCCGCGCCTAAACTAAGAAGGGGAAGGGGGGCGGGGAGGAGAAGAAAAAGAAAACGAAGCGGCGGCGGAGTAGCCCCTTTCGATGGTGCTGTGCCGGCTAAGCTCTTCTTCCGGCTGCGGGCTCGTTTTTTTTCTCTCATAGCCACGACTTGCATTTTATTCCAGAGGGTTACTTTAAAACAGACTGTTTTCTCCGGTGTGACGCCAGCATGTCACTGTGTCTTAAGAATGGACAGACCGGGAACCATGGGAAAATATATGTAACTGCATACTTGTGCTTATCCTTGAATGAGAAAAACACTGCAGACAGATCCAACTTATATAGTCTCAGAGCACCCCGCCCAGAAGAAGGGAATGGCAAAGTACTTCTGGGTGTTTTATAGCTGGAAAGTACTGTCATCGTCAGACCCAACTTGATGGCACATAATTATTATTATTTTTTAGTCGGGGCCACAAGAAAGTTTTCTGCACAGCTTCCCCTCTTTAGAAGTGGGAGCTTTATGGTATATGCATGTGTGTGTGTATGTGCGCGCGCGCGCGCGCACACACACACACACACAGAGTGAGAACTTTCATTAAAAATATTTTATTGAAAATGTTTCTTTCAAATGTATGAAGAATTAGAAGCCTCTTCACATTTTCAGTGTTGATTCAGCTAAAAAGACAAACAGGTTAGAAGTAATACCTAGTTTTTATTTAAAGTAAGCATGGAACTATCAATTTCAGACTTAGGTTCAGTTATAAGTTAAATGTGTTTTCAAATATATAAATCTGTTACTGTTTATAAAATATAGTTCAAGTTTCAGTCACTTCAAAGTAGACAAAGACTGTACAATACATGAAGATTTTATGGAAAAAGGGAATATGGGATAATATCACTACTTTCATCTTTTTGTTTCACATATTGAAACCATGAACTGGAATTTAGTTCAGTGACATCTAGATATAAGCAGTGCAAACACTTTTTTGAAGCCATGGAAGGAGTAGCACCCAATAATCGAAAGCCAGTAGGTCCATTAAAGACATCTTTACCACTTTTATTGCAGTAACAAGGATTAACTATCTTTAATTCTCTAGAATAGCAGAGAATCCCTCCATACAAATCCATGCTATGCCTTCTTGATTCTTTAGAATGAAATTATGTAATTGATTGTTGATAATTTTTGCAGGCTTGCAGGTCTGTATTGCTTAGATAATTATAACTGGCAAACAAAACTTATATTTTTGTCAAATGCACTTGTACAATGTACAGTATTTGAAAACAGTGACTGATAATGAGTTCAACCATTTCCATTATTTTGAACAATGTTTTTATTGAATGGTACACCTGCATCTTGTATTTTTAATTTCAAGCAGCAGGTGGCAGAAGATTCAAGTACTTACTTTTTTAGCTTTAAGATAAAGTTGTATGCCGCTTAAAACCTTTTTCAAAATATTTTAGATATTTATTTTTATATATTAGAGATGACAGTCCAAACCCATAACAAAAAGAGGGCATTTTCTAGGATAAATAAAGGTATATTATTTAAATATCACCAGAATAATCCTAAAACAGTGAAGAATACAAAGGAAATTTGATGTCTACAGGTGAGAATTGTGGCAATTTCTCCTTGCCCAATTGCCTTCATTGGGAAGGAATTTTCTACATCAGCCAGCTGTAGGGCTGGAAGAGTTTCCAGATCTGTTGGGAAAGAGGTTGATGGAGAAATGAAAGAGCCTAGGATTCTGTGCAAACCCAGCTGCCATCAACAAATCTCCAGGTGATTCCAACTTTAGTTCCACTGTTTGTTGACTACTGCTAGTTAAGGCCAGCACAAGATCAGAAAGTGCTGACATTTTCTAGGAAGGATCTTCATGAAGGTGTCTGTTGAGAAGTTTCATGACAGCAAATGACACTTCAGCACAAAAGCATACAATAGTTTTTGGAAATTAATCGAACAGGGAAAGCACACACTCACATGGGAAAAATAGCAAAATAAAACAAATACACATAGTCCCCATCCCAAAAACAAAGAAAAGAAAGCAAGCAAATAAAGGGGGGGGAGTTCCCCCAAACAAAACTAGAATATGAAGCAATGTTTTCATGCCTTTTCATCTTTTGAGTCCAACAGGTAGGCCAGGTAGCATCAAAACTAATCCAGTAAAGGAAAAGACCCACCCAAAAAGAGAGAAAAATCCAAGATGGAGGCACTGCATGCATGCATGGAAGCAGGCAGATATCTGATCAAGATGAAAGGCATCAGGAGTTCAGCACACAGTAATCCCACAAAGAACTGAAGCAAGGAACACTTCTCACAGGGGTCCAAGTTCTCCCTCCCTCCAGATATTATGATTGGCTTCTGACAGTCCTTCCAATGCTGTTGGATGAAAAATTTCTCAGGCAACTTGGCACAGAAAAGGCAAAAAGGCAAAGAAAAGTTATATGAAAGATGGAACACAAAACATAGATGAAACTTCATCTGCCCTTCTTTCATAAACATGAATCATTTATGAAAGATCATTTGTGTTTAACACCAATTGGATGAAAAAGAGCTGCTTTCATGTTGTGGGTAGCAATGGCAGCTTTCATTTAGACACAAAAGGCCCAATTTATAACAAGGCATGTATCAAATGAGAGATTTTCAGATACCAGGAAAATAAGTGCTAGAATTTAGTTGAATTTTCAACACTTGCCTTAGGAACCAGGTTTTTTAACATATAGATTAGTTTCAGCTAATAACTAAATAAACATAGATAGACTGTTATCTCTGAGATATTCTACTTGTGATTCTCAACACATCCAAAGAAGAGCTTCTAGAGTAGATTCAAGATTTTATCTTGGAAAAATCCCCCCTTCACATTAGTTGCACCTTGAAAGTCCCATATTTCATTGCTATACAAAACAGTAGAGATAGCTTATTTACAAGATATTCAAGACTAACACAACTTCCCAGTGCCCTGTGAGTCCACACAAATTTTAATATACCAGAAAGAGATTCATTTTTTTAAACAAGCTTGAGCTTAATGGCTTTTCCAGTTGCCTCTGCTGGAAAATTCTAGCTTCAGATAACAGTCATGTTTAATCAGCTCAATTTTGTACAAGCGAATTCATCAAAAATGCTTTTCAAAGTATATGACCAAACACAATGACTTTTCTATTCATTTTCCTTTCACAAAGCCCAGGTCAGTTGACAAGTTATGTGAATATGAGACAGGAAAATGATCAACTATCTTCTGTCATTACAATGAAATTAAATGCACACAGAGAGACAAGCACACACACACACATAACCAGAGGGATTGGGAAAGGGTGAGAGCTACACATACAGTGGTGCCTCGCTGAACGAGCGCACCGTAGAATGACAAATCCGCATAGCGAGGGTTTTTTTCGATCGCAACTGCAATCGCAAAGTGATGGCCTCTATGGCTGAAACTCGCATAGCGAAGGTCGGTAAGCGTTTTGCTTACCGACCTTCGCTTTGCGCCCCGCGGATCAGCTGTTCGGTGGCTCCAACATGGCTGCCGGAAGCCCCGAAATGGCCGCGCGCAGCGTTTTCGTGCCCTCGGTGAGCGAGGGGAGGGCGCGAAAATGGCTGCCGGCCATAGGAAAACATCGCTGAACGGTGAGTTTTCGGCCCATTTGGAACGGATTAAACGATGTTTAATGCGTTCCAATGGGTTTTCTTGATCCGTTCAGCGATGTTTTCACATAGCGAGGGTTAATCCGGAACGGATTAACCTCGCTGTGCGAGGCACCACTGTATATTGAAATAGGCTAATCTAACCCCATCAAATCCACAGGAACAGTATTTGTGAGTAGCTCAGGGAGGAAAAGATCAGTCTGTTTCCAGACCATATCAGTTTCTTGTGTGTTAATTATTGTGTTGAATTCCATTTGTGCACAAATCTTAAAGCATGAAACTTATATTAATTTTGAATGTATTTCTTTTTGTAAAATATGCTAAAATATCATTTTGGAGATGCTGTTCCAAGTCCTCCATACAGAGCACGTTACCATAGTCTCTCGAGATTGAAGGATGCCTATGATGATGAACCTAAAATAACAACTTTTGTAAGTGTTTCTGCATACTTTGGTGTAAATAATTGTATCCAAAAATTTGGAGAAGCATAAATATGAAAAGACAACTGCAATCCATTATATACATTAGGGCCACTATGTAATTCAGGCACACCTGTGTGTCTAAACATCTTTGAAAATGAACTCTGGGTGACCAATCACTAAACAAAGGCTGGAATCTAGTACAGTATTAAATTGCAACTAAAGTAAACCCATTGATCTGGTGACTCCGCTTCTATAAAAGTTTCATTGTTCCATGGTCTTACTCTAGTTGAGACTTACTACTGGATTACAGCCAAGGCAACTTAATTTGTAAGATATGGTAGATGGGACAAGCTCTTCCTGTGATAATTTAACATCTTTCTTCACTTCAGGAATTGTTTCTATTGTTGACATGTATATATTTGATGTATAGTTTAACTCATACTTCAGGAAATACATACGATCGTATCACATTGGTTTCCTTAAAATTACAGGTTGGATTAATCTTTGATTATTACTACTGTGTACAGAAATGCTGTCAATGCCAAGAAGCTGTGATTTAGCTGAGAAAGTTTCTCCCAGAGTCTTCCTTCAGAAAAATAATCAAAGGTTGCCATGAAGATCCAAGGCTTTGAATACCCCAGCACAGTGGTGCCTCGCTTAGCGATGTTAATCCGTGCAGAAAAAATTGCTGCTAAGTGATAACATCACTAAGCGAAAATAAAAAGCCCATAGAAACGCATTAAAACGCGATTAATGCATTCCTATGGGCTAAAAACTCACTTTTAAGCGAAGATCCTCCATAGTGCCGCCATTTTCGGTGCCTCAAAAGCGAGGTATCCATGCCTGAAAACAGTGGGCGGCCATTTTGTTTACCCGGTGGCCATTTTGAAACTGCCAATCAGCTGGCCGAAAATGGGGGCTTTGCGATGATCACTTCCCTGCAATCATCGCAAAGCGAATTTCCCCCATAGGGACCATCGCAAAGCGATCGCTTTTGCAATGGCAAAAAGTCCATCGCACAGCGATTTCGTCGCTATACGGAGCGATCGCTGTGCAAGGCACCACTGCACTTTCATACTGCTTTATCAGTTTACTGACG